GGGACTAGTAGTTAGTAGGGACTTGTAACTAGTAGTTTGAATGTAGAATGTTTGAGTTTTCACAGCAATTACTTCTTACAAAGCAACGGTCAAGGAATTGTGCGTTGGTGAAGGAAAATTGATCGAGTTTTGGAAATCAAGGACCGAACACTCCAAAATTGGCAAAAGTGGCAATTCGAAGTTTGTCGGTGCCTAAAAACAGTGTTGACGCAGGAAGATCGTTTTCTAAGTATAAAAATGTATTAAGTGATGAAAGACGAAGGATAAATGAGAATTATCTGACAATGTACAATACTTTGTACCAAAATTCTCTTCATTTAAATAAGAATATTAATATTGCTTGAAATTCAAAGAAATACTTTTGTTGTGTATTTTTAAGTTTTTTTTATTATTTGCGCAATTTCTGTCTTTTGCATCATTTATATAATAAATTTTTTTATGTTTAGAATTTGTGTAATTTTCAAAATTTCCCGCGATTTTTCCGCCTATTTGGGGTCTTTTTTCCCGCGACAAACTTGCAGCCCTATTTATCATGTATGAAAAGTATCACTTTTAAAATATTTTTAGAAATTTTATTGTTAAGATAATTTTAAGAAAATTGTATTTTGGAATAATAAACCTTTTAAAAGAATGAACTTAAAATAAGGATTGTTTTTTCTATAAACCATGAAGCTTCATATCCTGCTTGCTCTCTAAAATCCTTTTAAAAAAAAAATTAAGCTAGAATATTTGGGTTGGTCAATAGAAAAGCAAGAAATTTTATAACTCTGTAATTAATTTGAAATAATAAAGAAAAAGTTTCAAACATGTTTTTTACCTTCAGTCGTAAGAGTGTGTGACTGCCAAAAATTATAATTTTACTGTGATTAGTTTTTCATGTACATAGAAAAATCTGAAAAACCATGACTGTAACCTATTTAATTGCTCTTCATTAATTGAATGAAACTAATTCAAAATTTAAACAAAGTGAGACGAGTTTTAATAAAAAATTTTAAATCAGCATGTTCTTTAAATGTTTCTTTAAAAATGTGCAAAATTTCATTTGTTTCATTGAGTAGCTTTTGAATTATGGCAGTGGGATTGACATTCGGCCAAAAATTTTTTAAGTTGTGACTGCGGTAGTGACCTTTTCACTTTCAAGGTATCTGACTAGTTTTGACACAATTTTTTTTCAAAAAAATCTCAATTAATATTTTCATTTTGTGCTTAATAAAAAGGGGTTCTAAAATTATAAATAAAAAGTAAATTTTAAAAATTTATAAAATCTTATTCATTATAAGAGCAAATTTGCACTTAAAAACTACTACTTTACATGTGTTAGTAATAGCTCTACAACAAATTGTAATGCATAAATTTAAATTTTTTTTTCTAGATCATTTTAATTTAATTACATTACTCATTTAATTACCTATGTTTACATGTGATTACCTGTGTTTTAAACTAAAATATTAAAAAAAGAAAGAAATCAAATTAAGAACATTGTTTAATATAAAATTTTTAACAAAAATTTCTAAATATTCTTACCTAATGCTTGATAAACATTGCAAATTCACACTTAGTTTTTAGTTCAAAACATCGCTAATATTAAAGAAAATCAACTTACAAAATTTTCTGAGTTCTATAATGAAGTGTTTTTTTAAAATGTGTTTTAGCCTGAACAAATTTTCTTAAAATCATTGTTCTTCAAAAAATGCATTTTAAATGCAAGAAAACTCTGAAATTAAAGAAAATTCTGGTCTTAATGAACTGAAATTTAAATATTGATTATAATAATAAAAAAAAGCAAAAGTTTTACCTAATTGGATATCTTAATAAAGAGAGATGTCTGTTTTATGTTAAAATTTATTATTAGTAGTTTCTAAATTTATATTAATTTGTTATTATCTTTTTTAGGTGGGTTATTTTCCATATTCATATGTGAAAGAAATCTTTGATTAGTATTGTGCGTTCTTCTGTGATATTATTTTAGAACTTTGTTACAAAGTGAATGACTTTTTTTCTGACAAGTGGGCAAGCATGGCTCTTATCTTTAATTGATTTCTTTTAAATTTGCATATCATGCATGATGATATTCTTAATACTTTGCTATTTGTTTTTAAGAGTTCTATATGTATCTGTTATCTGAAGACAATTTTAATATCGTTAATTTATATCAAGTGTGGTGCATAACAGATTATCCTATATGTTTTGTAAATATATATATATATGCTTTTAATTGCCAAATGATGCATTCAAAGTTTTGTGCGCTAGCGTAAATTCTGGTGATAATGACCATTGATATATTTTTGACTTTAATTTATAACTGTTATTTCCTGTTAATGTATATTTGAAAAGAGAATGATGATCTGTAGTTTCATTTTTTTTTTATAGAAAAAATTTATTGTTAAAAAAAATGTATATATGTAGTTCTATTAATTTATGCAGTTATATATCTTTGAAACTTTATTTGTGTTGTTTGTTTCAAAAAGAGTTTTGAATTTTTTTAAAAAATTTAATTAACAGGCATGAGATTTCATTTCATCACTTCCTTTTTATTCTAATTTTTTTTTATCATTTACCAGATTTATTTATATTTCTCAGGATTTTAAAGAATAAAAATACTTCCCAAAAGTTATGTCATACATATTTTGAAATTTAATTAAAACTAAAAAATATTCAGCTTAAAATCCATGAATTGAAAAAGATTTGAGATCAGATGAAAAAAATTTGCTGTTTTAGTTTTGCTTTTTAGTGGTTCATTTATTAATTTAATTAATTGTTATAAAGTTATGCGTTTACTCAATCAGACTGGGGTTTCTATGGTCTTTATTGCTATATAGTTCTTTCATATTAATAATACTAGTTTCATTAAGTTGTAGTATGATCTTATTTGTTTGAAACTCTATGTTTGTTACTAATATTCCATTATTCCAATATTTTTAAAATGCTATTTTTTTTAACTTGTTGATCTAATTGCCATATGATATGTCAATACTTTTAACTTACAGTAAATTATTATTATTGAGTTTGATATTTTCTCCCTTATGTAGCAGCATTTAAATTTGATTATCATTAGTTAATAAAATTATTGTTCACAAAATAATCTTAATGGATTTTTGTAATCATGAATCATATTTAAACTTAAAAGTTTAATTAATTTATGAACCCAAAATGGTCTTCTGATTGATTTTCAAATGCATTTTTTCAATATTTTTATTTCACAAGTTTCTTTTTTTGCTATCTCATGCCTGTAAAATAAGAATATATGAGATGTATGTTATGATTTTTACATGTATTGTGCAATTTTTTTATTATATCAATCATTTTGTACTTTTTGACTCAATTTTTTAATTTTGTGTTTTTGTGTGTCTTGTAATATAAAGTGTCATTAATATGAATGAAACATATATCCTTGTTTCATACAGAGTATAGTTGCCATAACAACATGGAGATGATGTCTTGCCAAAACTTTTATACATACTATGAAGGCTTCTTCTGCTTTTTTTAGTATACTGGCATCATCTATTGTCAAATGAAGCTTATTTTCTAAGAATTTACAGTTATATTGGAGACTTTTTATTGCATAACTGTTTCCAAAAATAATACTATCTTATGAAATTGATATATTTCTTTTTGAAAGATAATGTGTGCAATTAATATCTTTTTACTTAAATTTGTTAGGAAATAATAGATAGAGTAAATAAAACTGTCTTATCATTGATTCATAGCCATAGAGCTATAATTTTAATATCTTATTGATAATACCTACCGGGTAACATTTATTGAGCAATGTGAAATGGAAAAGAAATTTTTTTGAAAGCTATTAAAATATAAAATTTTAAAAATATGTCATGTTTGATATGCTTGCCAATAGAATAATAGCCTAATACAAAACTCAATGAAGTGTTAAGATATCAATGCTTTCGAAGAGGATTGATATATATAATTCTGATGCAGCAGGTGAGAGGTAAGCACAGTTCTTTTACCTCAGAAAAGATGCACAAATGGTATTGAAGCAAAAGCAACAAGCAATGTACAAACAAGTAAAAATTAACAATTAAAGAAAAACAGAAGGGAAAAAGTTCTAAAATTGGATGCAAGTTCTCTAGCCTCCCATTAAAAGGAGTCGATGGATTCTTCTTTCAGGGCTGGGCAGAGAGGGAGGTCGTCAGCAGTCATCACCTGGCCACCAAAACATAGGGGAAGTAAAATTGTTGGTGACCTTAAGTTCTTAAAAATGAGCAATAGAAGCAAAAAGCAGCAACTGCTCGTTGGAATAGTTCAAGAGATTACGAATAGTTCTACTCGAGCTACTCCCCAGTCTTTGCTTTATCTCGGATGCACGCAAATCTCGTGACCAAATTGATTTGTGACGCCGCAGATTCATAGTAAACTTCTTGAAAAGGTGTTTGGATGGTAGACCGTTTTTTGGATCCTCAATCTAATTTTGAGGGATACCACAGTGGGATGGGATACTCTGCAAGACAACTGTTTTGTTTCTGAGGAGGCTTCGAAGGTGGATCCTGCATTGTTGTACAAGAGCAGTAATAGGAGTTATGCAGCAGCTAGTAATAGGCAGGATCACTGTTTGAGAATCAGATAATGCAAGAGCCTACTAGTATGGCTCAGAAATATTGTATTTTGACATTTTCAATGAACAATAATGCTAAAAAATAAATTAATTAATTAAAATTAAAAGCATGCCCTTCATTTAAGCACCAAATTTTAACTGAATCTAACCCCCAGTATTATATCATCAAAAAAATTTTATTTTCATATAGCTCAAAAATTGTCATCCCATAAAAATATTTTTTTGTCATCTGATGTAATTAGTTAAAAGTAATGTATAATATTTGTCTACATAGTTTATGATTGCTTAGGATTTTCTATCTATCCATCTTTGCAGCAGAAGACTAATGTTTTATTTACTTATTTCATATTTATCTTGTCCAGAAATATAGATATGAGAAAATAGTAACTAAGAAATATTAAGTTTAGAGATGCTTTAAAATGGTTTAGACATACTTTAAAATGGTTTAGACATACTTAGACTATCTTCTTACTTTTATATCAAGTAAAATCTTTCTTTAGAAAAAAATTCATTGTGTGCTAAAAAAAGTGAGTTATAGGTGCTTGACTGTATCTAAGCAATAAATATTGCGTCAGTATTAAGTCACTTTTAAGGTGGTAATATCCCACAGTCATGAGAATATTTTTAGATAATTGATTACTCATTTTTCTCTTTTGATATTCAAATGATCTCACATTTTAAATGACGCATACTTTTCTAATACAATATTTATAAGGAAATTTTTTTTTAATAGGATTAGAGTGTGTGTGTAGTTGTGATGGTTATTTGAATGTTTAAAACATTTTTATGAATTGTATCTTTCATTGAACAAAAAACTTATTATTTATGTTTATAGTATGGGTGCACAACCTTTTTCCAAAATAAATCTGGAAGAATAATTCATTTTTAGCTTTCAGGATTTACAATTGATTCATTTGTATACCAATTTTTAATAGCGTAATTATTTCTTATTTTTAAAAAGACAATATCTTGAAAATAAAGAAACAAAATACTTCAAATTATGAATATAATAACAAGATATATATTCAGTATTATCTTTTAAATTATAAATCATGTAGAGTTTTATTGACTTTGACATAAATTTTTTTTTATTATAGCGTGTTTTTAACTTTTTTGTAGAAAAAGAAATTTTTTTTAGCAATATAGATTGCTAACATCTTAAATTTTTAAATACACCTTTGGACTACATTTTTTTAAAATCAATTTCGTCAAAAAAAAATCCTTTCTTAAATGTCAAAAGATTTACAACTTCTTGTAACACTTTGAATTAATACTTTTGCATTTTGAAATTATATTACTATAATTTCAGTGTTTCTTCAAAGTTTATTGAATAAAGTTTCTAAAGATTCTTTACACTAGATATGTAGGTTTTTCCAATTAATTTTTAGCTGCAAGGTGCGGTTGAAGGCCATATTGCCCATTTAAGGACTACAATTAGCACTTAGGTTGCAGGTTGTGTACCTCTAATTTAGAGTAATCTTTTTTTTTCTTTCTTTAACTTATGTCAGAAAAATACAAGGCGAAATGTATGAACATAATTTCACCAATGTTTTGCATGATAATTTGCAAAAGAACTAAAAAATGAGCTAAGTTATGTTGCTTGGATCTGCAGCGACAAATCATGAAATTTTATTTTGTGCTGGAATAATATAGCAACACATAAAAACTTTGAAAAACACAAGAAAAATCTTGAATAAAAGAGAAATTGTTGTGTTAATAGTTTAATATATTTATTTGATGTCCCTTTCTTTATGAATTAGTGTGACAAATATTCAGGGATGTTACAAAAATAAATCCATTCTTTGATATAATATTTTTATAACTACAGAGTCATGATTTAATCTGTATTTGATTATATTTTGTGAAAAAAAGATGTGATATCCATTACATTAATTGTGTGAATTCAGTTGCTTTTTAAATATTCGATGTGATTACTTATGTTTATAAAGAAAATATTCTTTTGATGGGAGTAAATTTAAATTTTTTTTTTTCATTGCTGTGCTTGAAATCTTGTATCAAATGAAGCATTAGCACATTAAATTATTTGTTTCAAACTAAATGCATGCTTTTTCTTATTTTACTAAAGGTAAAATATTAAAAAAGCTGCTTTTATTACTATTCTTTTAGTGATCTGATAGTGTTTCGTCCATCAAAAGTAGAATTCAATAGATAAAAATAATTACTTCTAAAAAGTGTGTTTCAGACACTTTCTTTTTAGACTAAAAGAGTTTTAATAGATTAGTGTGAAATCAGTGAGACACATTACTGCCGAGAGGTCCAATGGCATCACAAAGTTTATATTATAATATTAAGTGGATATAATATTTTGTTGTACAGAAATAAACCAGTGTTTGTGAATTTAACTGTAGCAAACAGGAATTGTTGTAATGTTAATGTTTGTGAGTATTATACACAAGATATATTTAGATCATAGTCAAACTGTGCCGTTGACGGTATTTACATAGACCATTCGTAAAGTTTTTATCCTCAACATCATCCATCCAGTTATTACTGTTGTGAAAATACTATCTTCAAATTATATTTCTATGTATACTTTGTTTAATAGCAGTAGAACAGTTGGTTTAATGTTGTTATATAGCAAATAATCTAGTTCTGATGGTGATTCTTTCTATGTATAACTGAAATAATTAATGACCTTAAATTTTTATGTGTTTAATTTATTATTATTATTATACTAAGCAGAGCTTCTTAAGCTATGGATTCCTTCTCCGAATAATCTTTGAGGAGTATGACATCAGATTAACATGGGATCACAATCCTAGGTTACCCCCAGTCAGGGCTGGATTACCCATTATGGTCTGGGGCCCCCAATGATTAGGGGCCCCCTTAAAAAATTTGTTTTGAAAATAAATTTAAAAAAATTAAGAAAAACAATGATTTTTAAAAAAAATCAATTTCAAATATTAATAAAATACGATAATCTTTTTTAGTTCTAATTTAATAGAATAAAGTAAAATTTAATTTATTATTGTTTATTTTAATTTTAAATATGCTTTCTTAAATGAAAAGATAAATAAAAAGTTTTATATTTGAATAAATAAAAAATATATGAGAATTTTTTTTTTTATCTGAGGGCCCCAAAAATTTGAATGGCCTAGGGCCCTGTGTCTGCTTAATCCGGCCCTGCCCCCTATCAAAGAATATATACAGGAGAAGGCTAGTTTCTATAGATATATTGTAAACTGGTCCTCCAATGGTTGGTACTGGTCCTGTATATGAAGGAAAAACCAACATTTAGGGCACTGCAGCAGATTGTTTATCCTTCACCTTTTCCAACCACTGTTGGAGTTGGAGATGAATTGGACTGTTTACTCCTTTCATTTATGATTATGATATTATTTTCCAAGTTTCATGTAAGTTGCTTTTCTGTTATAACATCCTGTTCTGTGTAGTTCACCACCATGGGTGCAAGTCTTCCGTCTCCAGGACGGATTTCCGTCTTTCGAAAATGTTCGTGGACGGAAGTAAGACGGAAACAAGACTGACTTGAAGACGGAAATCTGATTTTTTTTTTCTGCCCTTAAAAATATTTTTAGGTCTACGTTATTGGTCTACTTTCTTATGTCCTGTTGTTATTTTATCACAAGACAGATGAATAAATATTTTTTGTACAGTATTTAAACTTGATGTATTATGGTTCTTAGATAGTTTGCATATGTCGAGGGGGTATTGTGTATGTTAGGTATTTCAGTCAAAAAATTTTCAGTCTTGGCCTTTTTTCCAACTTGCACCCATGTTCTCCACTTAGTTACTTGTTCAGAGAGCCGGATTTCCTCTTTCTATGTTCTTTGTCTTAGTGATCTTGCATCAGACTTAGTGTATAACACCGTTTAATTTCAGTATATTGAGTAATAAAAACATAGTGTTTGGTGCTGCATAACCGATTAGGCGAATAGTTGAAGTGCTGCAAGTTTCATCCTGCAATCAAATGGGTTTTGATGTTTTTCTTCGAGACTCCCACATTAGCGAGTTTCAAAATTAATATCACATTTTTGTTGCTTTATTGTTAATTTGTGTCATCTAATGCATATACTTTTTTTGAAAAGGATTTAATAAATATGTATTAAGATTACAGGGCACTGTATAATGAAAACACTTGTCATAGTTTTACTATATGTTCCCAAATTTAATTTAAAAACAATTATTTTCAATGAAAATTTTCTGTTTCTTTTCAGATAGTCTTCCGATGGTTATAATCTCTTTTAGCAGTAATTTTTTAACATTTCTCAAACTTTTTTTTCTGCAGCTATTCATGTTCTGAATTTATTCTCTTTAGTTTCAATGAATTTATAAAATATATGGAAACAAATAAATATTAAAACGTTTTGTTCAAAGTCTGTGGTAAGTGTCTGTGTAATAATATATTGTTATTTTTACAAGCTTTTTAGCATCAATCTGTTACCTCCATTTATTCAGAAATTCTTTTGGATCGCTTTGTAACATGAATTTGAGTAACAATATTCAAATTGAAAAAAAAAATACCATCATAAAAAAAAGCTTAAGAAGCTCTGTTTTAGAGTAATAATTGGAAATTAAACTAAGGAAAAACAGACTTTTTTTCCTGTTTCATTAAACTATTTACCCTTATTGTTGTTTCATAACTAAATTCATATTTATTCAATTTAAATAACTTCTTTTAAATTGTTTTTAAGCATTAAAATTAAAAAATTGTATGTGCATATTATCTTTTTAAAATGAATATTATGTTATCCTGTTTATTGTTTGCCAATAAAAGTTTGTGAAATTATCGCAGTTTTTTTTTTTTTCCTTCACATTTAAGAAATATTTTCTTGGTAGAAAACAAAAATTATTAGCAATTCTTTAATTTGAATGTAACTCAAGAATTGTTCCATTTTTTGACAACCTGACGCTTTTATTTCAAACCACTTTTGTTGCTTCATATTTTGAGTGCTTGAAACATGTCGACTGTTTCCTATCTGTAATTTTTTGAACCGATTGAAGTTTTTAATCAAGTAGAAGTTTTTCTTAATAATCGTCTGTACTAATTAATAAGAAGCCTTTCTCTTTTTGTTCGAACGCAACTGTCAAAGGGGTGGAGAGTAAGTTCTAAATATGCTTTTAATCTTCTTTATTTAATTTTCATAAATAAACCGATGGTGGTTATTTACTCTATTATGCAGTATTTTTTGCAGAGAGATGGAGCAACGAGATGCTTGGGCAATAGTTGTTCCTTTCTTGGCTAAGAAATCAGCTTTTTCATTACCCCAAATCCCGCAATGTCCCGGGATGCATTGGAGGACGATTTGCTTGTCTTTTAGTGTCAGGCACTGAACAGAATTGTCACTAAATTGAACAGACTGTCAGGACACTGTAACTAATTGATATGACCAACAGAAGCGTAGGCAGAGAACAGGTGACAAAATACTCCCGCTCCAGCACTCACCCGCTGATCCACTCGGGAGCCATCTGTAAAGATTCTCAACCATTCAGGTTCAGGATATAGCTCATTCATAGTTGCGTAAGAGATACCTTTGAGGACATCACTATCAAAATCTGATTTTAGGACTCTGAGAGCAAGGTCTGTGACCACATTGAAAGTCTGGTAGTTCAGTGGGCTACAAGGAGTGAGAAGAATTTCAGACTCAATAAGAAGGTTGTACTATTTGTCTTTTAAGCTCAGCACCTCCTGTAGGAAACCTGCTTGAGTCTTTAATTGGCGATGCCTGGGACTCTCTAGGTTCCAAAGAGAAAGATACCCAGGAGTCCGTAATATTTTTTCCCAGAGTTTCAAGGCCTTTTCGACTGTTCAACGGCGGTCATAAAATAAAATAAAATTATTTTTTCTATCGGCCAAAGTCCAGTGCAAAGAAGCATAGCGTCTACTGGGGTGGATTTAACAGCTCCAGTGATCAAGCGAAGTGCTTGATTATGAAAAACTTCAAGAGATCTGCGAACCTGACTTGGAGCACTAATTAAGGGTTCACAGCACTCATTTAAATTGCTGGTCCGGAACATGCTCTCAGAGAACTTCCGTAAAAGCAATATACACAAAACCTGGTTCAACTATATTTTAACTATCCCAAATCAGCCCAGGTTTAAGGCAGTCGCTCTCTTTAGACTTGTAACGGGCCATGACTGTCTGGCCAAACACCTTTTTAGTATAAACATTTTTGACTGTCCTAAATCCTCTGTCGCCTTGGGGAGGACATGGACTTGCCCCATATTTCCGTCTGTTCTGCGCTCATCACTACTGTGTGTGGACGCTACTGGGAGGCTAGGGCCCGTATGGGCTAAGCATGTCACTATGCATTCTATTCTATTTATCTCTTTTTCCCTTGTTTTTCTTGTTATTTTATCCTTTTTGTTCTTTTAAATTGGCCTGCCATTGGAAATAAAAAAAAGTATTCTTTGCTACATGCAAAATACTCAAGGATCACGTAATCAGCGTCCACGTCAGTAATATGCGATATAAAGTGTGCGGTTTTATTAGATTATCTTTTAATTCCTTCTGACAAAATTTTAAACAATCAGTTCTACCATCTTTTCATTTTTTGAAAGGTTAAATACTATATACAGGGTGATTCATAATTCCCTCCGGGGTTTCGAAGCGTTATAGTAAAAAAACGAAGACGAATGTGACAAAAAAGAACATATGAAATTATTCCAAAGGTATTCAAGTTTTAATTTAAGCAGTTGCCGGTAAATGGCAGTAACATGTACCACTGAAGCCAGTTGTAGTAAAGAAAAATGGCGTTTACAGGCGGAGAGAATTATGAATAACCCAGTGTTAGTCTGTTTTTAGATTTTGGATAAACATTTTTAATTTTGTGCAATCTACGCTGTAAGAATTTATTAGCGCCAACCAATTAGGTTTTCATCAGTTTAAACTTTATATAAAAACTGACAAATATGTAGTTTGAAACAACTGACTCAAAACTCAAATAGTATATTTTCTTTTCTTTGAAGTTCTGGTGGAGTATCCATAGAAATTCTAAAAATTATCAAGCGCTATTTCTCTTAATAAAAAATATAACGACCCCTTTATGTTTCATTTTTTTAAAAAAAAATATATTGTGCTGTCGAGCAATGACTATGTCAGCAATAGTTAGCTATGCACTAAAATATATCAAGAAACCACAAAACAAAAGGTTGAAATAAAATGCAAGAAAGTGAGAATAAAGGCCTCTTAAGATTGAATCCCTGTACGCGAAAATCCGATCACTGAATCAAAAGTTATTCCTGCTACTCCATTTTTTATTTTTCAAAACTGCACATTTCAATGCTCTTTAAGAATTACGTTTGAAATAAATAAATTCATAGAATTTCCCGATGCGATTATAAACTCTAGTGTTTAGAGACAATAGTTTTAAGTCTTTCAATCTAACATAAACTCGTAGAATATATATCTAAAATAAAAAATTAGGAAAATGAAGGGAGAAAAAAAATACATAGCTGGTCGATCTTTATTGATAAAACGCCTCTCTCTCTCTTTTTTTGTTGTTTAAATTCAGTTTGTTGCCAACGCGAAAAAGGAATTTCATTGGTTTTCTAACAATCTAAATACATTCGTTTCCCCCCCCCCTTCTTTTTTATAAATATGAGGATAGATATTGATGATTAAGGAAGTCCGTTTCAGTTATCTGAAAAATGTTACTAGGTAAGCATTCGTAGGAAATTGCTACATGCAACAAAAAAACATTACCGTGATGAGATTCTCAGCAGTGATGAATCGATATTGTCCCATTTTGTGGGACAACACCATTTCCAATGGTGGTAGGGAGGAAGAAAAAAAAGAAGTTAAGAACTTGTTGGCATCTGGATTCTTTACGTTCTAGCGCTTTTATTGTAATGAATCGCACGATCTTTGATATTTCAATTAAAAATTTGATTAACGCTACAATTCTATCATAATTGCTTTTTAATATCCGTGAATAAAAAGCTAAGAAATTTATGAAAATAATAAAAAAACTTACAAAAAAGCATTTTATTTAATGGAAGGCCTTTTGTTATTACTACATTTTTGTCTACTCACTATAGCAAATGTGCGAACGAAATCTTGCAATCGAAATTTCGACCATTTCCTACCATCTAGATAGTAAAGATCTCCAATTTTTTTTTGGTTTACCTCCCATTTATACAATTATTTTACAACGAACCCATATTTTAACAAACGTTTATTAAACAGTTTTAAAAAAAAGAATTATTTATACATTCTTTATTATCAATTAGGTACACTTTTAATAATACCATTAATTAATTAAAAATTCGTACTAGCTAGGAATTTTATTTTTGAATATTTTGAATGAAATCTTTTTATGAAAGTAGAAACGCAACAACAGTAAAATAAAAAATGCCCTTACTTAAAGAAAAGACTCACTGTGGCGATCTTTTAAGTAAAGCGTAAAATAACTTTTAAACAAGCTATTTAAAAAAGCTCTTGCAAATTTTAACATTACGTTCACGATGAATAAAATGTACCAAAATCAAATATTTTGGTAAGAATTCCAAAAGAATGATTTGAAGTTTAGGGAACAAAAAAAAAGGTCACATCAAACTTCCTACTGTGCAATAATTTTTGAATAGAACAAGATGCATAGAGTTACTTTCATTATAAAATTAGGTAGTAATCTTTTTTCGATATAAAGGGGATTCAATACAAAGTAAAATATGTATTGGTTTTTCGATACAGAACAAAATAAAATTCAAAAAAAGATACACTCAAATAAATAAAAAAAGTCTAAATTTTATCACATCTAAAATGAAAAATATAAGGTGTATCACTTTCATAATAAGCCTCTCTGTCACCACGATAAATTCTCCCTACTTCATTTTAAAGTTTTCCGCCTTACGTTTTACATTATAAGGGCGGACATAATAAAATTATTTTCTTTAAACTACTTGAAAAAAGGAATTTTTTAAAACTTTCATTTTATCACTTTCATCTTTTTAGTTTGTCGTATGTCTCAAGGCAATCAAAATTTTTTTTGCTTATGAAATGATAAGTTTTGATTGCTCCTAGGAAAGAATTAAGCTTGTACTGGCATCACACACAGAGTTACACTTAAACTTTGAGAGCATTGTAGATAGTCGGAAAGCGGTCGATTCACTGTAAATTACTTGGTCCAAAGAAACCGATATAAATTGTATTTGTAGTTGTCAGAAAACTATTGAAACTTGTATTGTCCTTCAGCAAAGATCACCAGTTAAATTCTTAACACCTCTAATCAGAAGGAAAGTAGTTGAAATTAAGATTGACGATAAATTTCCTTGATTGGCGATGAGTGAAGGGCTAAAAGTAGAGTTGTCATTAAGGACTTGGGTTCAATCTTCAGTGGTGGCTGGTTGCCAATCTAGTCCAGTTTCAGATCAGTTTGTGTGCGAAGTAAAAGAGCGCTGATCACATAACTGCAATCATGTCATTAATTACAAAATTGTGGAGGCTTATACCTCCTAGTCTACAACGGGCTATAGTAAGAAAATTTTAAATTTAATTTGGCAAAAGATTTGTTTGTAGCGGCAAAAACGTTAGAAATTTTCATTGTGATCAAATATGGAGCTCTAATGAAGATTTGAAGACATAAATTAGTCGAAAAAAGTGGTCGAAATTTTTATATTTCAAAATTTCATTAGTTTAGACCAACACTACCTAGAAGAGAGATATCCTCAGCACGAATCAATTTAGTAGTCCAGTAGTCCGACGTAACGAACATAATCTGCTCTGTGAAGGAAAAAGTAAGGCTATACTATGAGAGCTGAACTATCCGCCATTATGGAGCAGACGGGTTCGTAAAATATTATATTTTACTCTTAGTAACAATGTTAAACATAGATGTGCTTATTCTTATTCGCCCAAACGTAATTTTAATTTCAAGGCTTTTAAATTTATTAAATTCTAATACTAAATATTTTAATACTAACTCTATTTGCAATGGGAGCAAAAATCAAAATTTTGCACTTAAAAAATATTAGAAATATGCTAGAAAATATTGTGTGCTAAACAGATTTTATTTTTTAATGAATATTCATTCAGCATCTATATTTTTTATAATTCATATTGGGTACCCTGTTTTTTGCTAATGTATGCTAATGCGGATCTGATATATTTTTGAGAGTGAAAGTCATCCAATCAGAATTTTTAGAGCGTGGTGTGTAAAATGTTTAGATATTTAAAATGAACACTGGAATATATATAATTAAATGAAACCTATCAATGTAGGCAATTTTTCTATTTATGAAAATGAAATTTTTCCTAAAATGCATGAAATTTTAATATAATTATATTAAAAATGTACGGTATTATATTTTAATCAATAATCTTAAAAAATTTCTTAATCCTTTTTTGCCAATACCTTTATGATTCTTTTTAATTTTTGAAAATTAATGCTTTAAGATTTCATAAATTCTTCTAAGAGTTCATAAATTATTATTCATGTACTCTAAGTTTGTTTCTGCTTCAACTTTAATTCTCACAATTTTCATTTCTCTTCAGATTTATTAATTTTATGTTAATGGAAGCAAAAAAAATATTGAAAACTGGATCCAAGCATGTGACTAATAAAATTCCCTGACAGCAATCGAAAACTGTTATACTATATTCCGATATCCTGGGTGATGCCTTTGCAATTTAAGAAATTTGTATTGTCACCGATTTTATGGGTGGGTGTGGTTGGTTATGTAGACAAGGAACACTTAGAATTGATACTAACAATAAACTTTTAATTAAGACAGTTAAAATATTTGACACAACTGTGGCAATGCAAACATCAACATTTAGAAATTAGAGACTGCAAAATAAATGTAATCTTCTGACAATGTTTCGTGGGATGAATACGTTTCGTTTACTAGAGACGTTTCGTTAGTGCAAATACAAGGCTCCTTATGCTTGTAAAGACAAACAATACCATAGTAGGACAAGATAATCAAACCGACAACTAATATAAAAATAAAAGAATAAAGTGCCATGTCACTACAATTTCTTCCCAATTTAACAGAAATCTTTATGTTTTTCCACACATCTCTGCTTCGGTTGATTTCGGCACTTTGGTCTGTATTCAATCTCATTCTTCTATAACCGACTCCAACTTCCTCTTGGATTGATTCTCTTGGCACATCTTCTGTAGGCATGATGTTAGACAACTGAAACAAGAAACTCAAAATTATTTATATTATACTAGCTGAATATTCGTTTTTCGTACGGGGTGAAAAAAGAAAATAATGAATAAATTGGTATTGATCAGCTTTTCGAAATTATGCTCAAAACTGTTAGAAACACAGCAACAAATGGTCATGTCATCTCTGCACTCGCATTGCGCGGTGAAAAATGTCTGATGCTTTATATCACCTTAATTTTTTGCCAATGACTTTTGAAATACCCTGTAAACAGCATAAAAACATAATGGTCTAATGCCATTGGAGTCTATGAATTTTTATTGGCCATATAACCACCTGGTAGAATCCAAATTTCCCACATTAACTTCAATACATTTTTGGTTGTCCCCAGGATAAAATTGATAGAAGTATATAAAGGTATTTTTTCCTATAAAATATTTTTATGTCCCTAATTTAAATGTATTTATTTGGAATATTTATTTTTCTTATTCTACTCCATTATTAAAGTTATGATTTTCATTGTTTTTTAAAATTAATGGCGCTTTTGAAGAATACTAAAACAAATTAACACCTTAGTTAAAATCAAACTTTGCACTTATTCTCATCTGATACGGTACGACACTTTTTTACTTACGATGCACTAGAGCTGCACAATGGGCTATTGGTGACGATCTGGGAGACATTCCTGAGGATGATCCGGAGACCACATCCCATGTGGGAGGACACATTCACACAACATGCACCTATCCGCAAATCGTAATTTTGACCTGAACCAGAGCACGATCAATTTCGGATCCAGTACTCTGAGGTATTGATCATTATGGGAACATGGAGGACTTTTGTGTCACCAAATTTCGCGTGCACCAGTGACCATTTTGTGCACTGGGATCTTCGGTCAGAGGGGATCGAACTCACTATCTCTTGCACATGGGCCCGATCAACCAGGCTATCTTTATTCTCAATTGAATCAAAGAGTTCAAAAACCGGTCATCTCTAACTGAACTAATTTTACAGAAGAGGCAAAAAACTGAATAGTTAAGTATTAGCTTAATAAATAGAACTTTTTTTTATTTTTTTGGGATTAAAATATGGCTTTTGGTTACAAAATATTCTGTTGCAACTTTGCGAATAACATCACTTAATCTTTTGAATTAAAATATAATTAAAACTTGGTGGTGACTGGTTTCGAACAAAACCCTACAAAGAATTCTATAAATTATTTTTAGCAAGCTAAAATATTAATAATTTGTAACTTAGAAATGAAATAAAGACTTTATTTAAGTCTTAGACTACATATTCATGCAGATTCAGAAATCTTTTCGATTTTAACTTAACTGTGCCTGGCCACTTTCAGATTTCTTCATAGAAAGAAAAAAACTAATTCGGTTTAAATTTTAAAAACTTTTTGATGTCTGCAATTTTCTAGTGGTTTTATAACAACTTTTCTACAAATGCTTCCTTAACTCGTTATGGTGCCATTTTTAGGGTACTTCTTTTGTACAGAGTAAATATTAATTTACATAAGCCACTAATAAAATGACACTTCACCAGGTATAGTGGTTTTATGAGTAAACTTGCAGAAACGAGTCACCTGAAGCAGTGTTGACTCCTTTCTTGCTTTCCAATAAAACATTTTGACAACACATTTTTCTTATAATGCCACCAGCTTTTTAAATAAAGTATATTATTTGTAGTCACCCCTTTCACAATTCATAGTTACTTTTTTGCTCATACCGTCTAAAGAACTACTCTTTGAATAAAAATATTCAACGAAATGACAAGCCTAAACTTTATTTTTTGTTTATGCAAACAATTTCATAAGCAAAAACGGCAGACATCTATCTGTATATTTCCAAGTTTATTCCGAGAACAGGTCATCTTCAGGCTATTTCATGTTTTCGAACTACATTGAGTATATAACATATATTCGAATTGCCCTCAAGGTTGTTTACCAGACCATTGCCAATAGCCTATTGTGCAGGCTCTGCAGCGTAAATAGGCTTATCTACGTATAATAACTTATCTACGTATAATAACTTATCTACGTATAATAACTTATCTACGTATAAAAAGTAAAAATTAAGAAGTAAAAATTTAATTTAAATGAATAGATTTAAAAGTGCTCGATTTATAATAAAAATAATATATTTTAAATTGTATTCATACATCCCTTCGGTTCATTATATAAAAAAATTGAAAATGTCAAGCATATTTTGTTTCAGTTTTTTGCTTTGTATCTTAAAATAGGTACAAATTTTTTTTCTTCCAAGATTTAGGTTTTTTGTACCACTATGCGGTGGAACTTAACTTCTTCAGTTTTTATCCGACTTTCTTAAAAGTGTGATTAATCAACATCTGATAACTCTAAATTTCCACTGTCCGTTACGTTTAAAATTTTTAACAAAACGGCATTTGCAAATTTTTTTTAATGAAATATCAAAGAGAAATTCATTAACAAAAATATAAACTATATCAATGCGATGATTTTACTAAAAATTAAAACAAAACAAAATAAAATTGTATTTGAGAAAACCTAATTGAATTTTTCTCAATATCCGAGTTTTAAAGTTATTAAATCGGTTATAAACAGAAATAAGTTCCTAACATGCAACAGAAATACCACCAGAATGATAAGGTTCAAATTAATTCAAGTATTTTGAAAGGTGAATGTATATATATATATATATATTTATAAAGAGAAGCTCAATAAGCTGTCCGATTTTCAACCGCTGCTTTCCTGTCATATACGGTAGATTCTTACCATTAAGTAATACAATCTAAAAACTTTTAATTAAAATGGTTTTCGGAAAATTGCTTTTATGCATCCTTTTACCAAGGTTTAACATTTTAACGGCGTATTTAATAACAAAAAAGAATCAGCTCTGACCTATTACCATAATGATTCATAAAATAAAAATTTATTATTTTTAAACATATTTAAAGATAATGTGTTTATATACAGATATCTATAGTTATTACAAACTTAACTGAGATTTTAAAAAATCAAAAATAACAATACTTACAATATTTTATTCAGGACAGATATCACCAACTTCACTAAGAAGAAAAAAATTGAGTTAGTTATTTTTTTAGTTGGTTATTGCAATTACATACATTTTCAGGCTTGTGTGCTCAAAATAGGCTTATAAACCTTCGTCAAGTAGAAGAGGACAGATAGCACAATAGGAGAGACAGCCAAAATCGTTCGTTCGTTCGTTGTAGTGGAACTGGGCGTCTGAGGCCTTACGGCCCTTTTAAGACAGCCAAAAAATTGAGTGCTTCATTATTTATTGGATTTACATACACTTGAAGGCTTGTGTGCTCAATTTAGGCTTATAAGCTTTTGTAAAGTAGATGGACAGATAGCACAATACAGAGAATTACAGCACGAAGATACATCCAGAGTAACAGCGGGATTCGAACCCGCTGCCTCCACGCTTTGTACAGGGTTTGGCGGAGGATACCCCTCTGCCAGGGAGGCACCCAAAAATTGATTGATTTGATTTGTTCATTGACGTCGCACTAGAGCTGCACAATGGGCTATTGGCGACGGTCTGGGAAACATCCCTGAGGATGATCCGAAGACATGCCATCACAATTTTGATCCTCCGCAGAGGGGATGGCACCCCCGCTCGGTAGTCCAACGACCTGCACGCGAAGTCGAGCACTTTACTGTAGAACGTTTAACGAGGACCAATACCGCACACCCTCGGTCCCTACGCAGACTAATCCAAGTGGTCACCCACCCGCACACTGACCGCAGCCAGTGATGCTTGACTTCGGTGATCTGCTGGGAACCATGTCCTAACGATCACTGTGGGACCAAAAAAAAATGAAATTCATGGAAAGAGTTGTTGTTTCAGTTCATTTACGTCACCCTGGAGCTGCACAATGGACTGTTGTTGGCGACTGTCTGGGAAACATCCCTGAGGATGATCCGATGACATGCCATCACAATTTTGATCTTTTGCAGAGGGAATGGCACCCCCACTTCGGTAGACCGATGACCTGCACGCTAAGTCGAGCCCTTTACGATAGAACAGTTTAACGATGACCAATACCGCACTTCATCGGTCCCTACACAGACTAATCCAAGTGGTCACTCACCCACACACAGACAGCAGCCAGTGATGCTTCACTTCAGTGATCTGCTGAGTATCCTGTCTTAACGATCAGTCCACTGCGGGAACATGTAAAGGGTAAGAGGGCGTGTGTTAACTTGTTTTTATTTTCATAGGAATGAAGACTGTAACTGTCGACGATCCTCCTTTAAACGCAATGAAGTTTAGAGGTAAAAAGGTTCCATTCCTGCTGTAATCTTGGATGTTCTATTCTATGTGAATGTTCTATTCTTGAATGACGACTCAATGAAATTCTTCTGTGATTTATGCTGTCGCCCAATCTGGTTAACTTTTCACCTACCACAGCTTGGGCCAAGGTTCGATTCCCCGTTTTTTTAGATAGGGTGTCTGGTGAGACTGCTCTTATTTCTTATCATCGTTATTCATATCATTCTATCATATCGTGATTCGGTTGTAATTCAACCTTTCCATTTTCGGTCACTACACTTGAAAAAATAATGGATTCTCAAATCTACGACATTTTGTTTGTTTTTGATGAAACCGTTTTCTAGTAACAATACTTACAATGCTCGCAGCGAATATTTCGTCAAAGTGACGAAACAACTGTCTTCACTTCTTGAAGAAAAACGAATTCCGTCAAAAGTGAAGAAATATTTTGACAGTCTAGTTTCGTCATATAAAGAATTACTTTCGTAAATTTGAGGAGGTGAGATAGTGATAAAGCTCCAATTCAGAAAACATTTTTGTTATATGGGTGGTTGATCGTGAAAAGCTAAGCAGAGATGGCGCTAGGCGTTAAAATTCGTCGCAAGACTTCAGCCTTACTACTTTCGACTAATCTTTACGTCTAAGCTTGCGAAAGTGCTCCATTTAATATTAATTTAACAACACTACGAAATCATGCACAAAAACTAAAAGACATGAATTATTTTAACTCATTTAATAAAGATAAAATAATTCCATTTATTATTTTCATATTTATATAATAGTTTGCTCCCTCGATGGTTTTACGCTATTAGACTAAACAAAACACGTTTTCAGCAGTTCATCCCATCACAAGAAAGAGTTACTTCAGTATGATTTGGCATGATGCTGTTGCTTGAGGCGAACTCATTATAGTCAAAATTTAATACAATGAAGTGGTTTTCTCTAGTATTTATCCTTTGAGGTCCCGTGCAAAATTCCTTTCCACAATGTATATTTAAATATTGCTCCATTTACCATAATACTGAAAGTCCCTACTACCAACAATGGCGTTAAGAATAGTATAGCGATTTCTTATGGTTCTCTAAACGATTAAGCACCATTTCATCATATTCATTAGCTTTGCTTTCTAGTACATTGCTTTTTAGTTTAAAATAAATGGAACCTATTATCAAAATTAATTGAGCACCGTTGGCCTCAATATTATAGTGATTTTTTTACGCTTCTCTTAAATAACTTGGTACCATTTTTCAATTAACAATGCTTTTCAGAAGACAACTTGCTTTTTTTCCAAATAAAATTAATTTCAAATCATTTAGTTTAAGGGAACTTAAACACTTATAACATTTTTAATATTTTCAGTACTTTAATTTAACCTTTTTATAATATAAGCAAAACATATATAATTTAACCATAACTATAAGCAAAGCAAAAAACACGTTGCTCAGATATTTTAGAAATACTAAATTTTTTTGACGTGGTTTACTTATAACCATTGATTTTATCTGATCTGACGAATAAATATCTAATATCTAAGAATGTTCAATAATTTTTTTATCTTTGAATGAAAACTACAGTCTAGGAAGTAATCCAGATTTAATTCTTAAGTTTTTTTTTCTTTTTTGAAAAGACACCTGTAGTATAGTTTTTATGCATGGCAAGCTTTAAGTCAATGAAAAAAAAATTCCTTTTCTAAACGTCGAATGATTTTTATGTTCGGGAGCTAAAATTGGCCCTTTACCCTCTCTGAAAATTTCAGGACGCTTGCACAAACGGTTGAGATATTATAAGAAAAACACATAGACACACATTTTTTATTTTAATATTATATATTTATTCATGTACATAAATATGCAGGCTTTTGTGTCTATTACAAACAGCTTATAAACTCCTATCAAAGTGAAGACGAGATTTCTCAATTGAATAATAGTAGTAGAACGTCGCACTAGAGCTGCTTAATGGGCTATTTGTGACGATCAGTAAAGACATGCCTCCAGAATTTTGATCCGGTGCAGAGAGGATAGCTTCCCTTTTCTGGTGTCCCGACGATATTGCTAAACTCAGAGAAGGACAGTACAACACTACACCGAGATTTACGGAGAGTTTCGTACCCGTTACCTCCACGCTTTAGAGCGTTTGGCAAAATCCTCCTTAGCCATAGAAGTCCGAAAAATTTTTAACTAATGTTTTGATTTGATGATAGGAAACAGTGATTTATGGTTTCTGGCAGTTTTAATTTATTTTATCACATTAACAAAATCATTCGCAACAACAATTAACAAATTATCGCTTGCGTCAGTTGTATTTGCTGCAAGCGAAAGTGTTTGAGATTGATTTTGTCGATGTGATAAAATAAATTTGCGATTAACAATTAACATTTAGATGGTAGGTACTTTATTTAAGTCACTCTAGAGTTGCACAATGGCAATGATCTGCGAAACATCCCTGAGGCCCTCTGACTTTAGCGATCTACTGGGAACCACCTTGTCTTTACGATCAGTCCACTGCGGGACGACTTCGCGTAAAGAAAAAGATATGAATATTCTTCGGGATGTATAGAAAGAAAGTTAAGAATCGAAAAGTTTGGAGTAGTGAGTAAGGCTAAGATCCTTCATAGCTTATAGTGCCCAGGAATTGGTATTCTACGAACAGACACGGAACAAAATGGTTTGTATCATGCCAAATTGAAATACGAATAAGCATAAACTAAGGGAGGAAATCAAAAAGTGGATACACACAGGGCTACAATGGGTATCTAACCCACTACCTCTAAGCATCGTAACTTTTCGTGGAAGAAGATAACTCTAGCAGCCAGTTACAGTTTTCATTCTTTAGAGGTCATAAGCAAGTAGCACACATCTTCTTACTACTATAGGTCTGATCAGTGGATTGATCGTTAAGACACGATTCCCAGCAGATCACCGAAGTCAAGCATTACTGGCTGCGGTCAGTGTGCGGGTGGGTGACCACTTGGATCAGTCTGCGTAGGGACCGAGGGTGTGCGGTATTGGTCCTCGTTAAACTGTTCTGCGATAAAGTGCTCGACTTTGCGTGCAGGTCTTCGGGCTACCGAAGTGGGGGTGTCATCCCTCTGCAGAGGATCAAAATTGTGATGGCATGTCCTCGGATCATCCTCAGGGATGTTTCCCAGACCGTCGCCAATCGCCCATTGAGCAGCTCTAGGGCGAAGTAAATGAACTACAACTACAACTACAAAATCTTACTACTATAGAAAGGTATAAGCATTGTTTTTGTCAAATTATTGACTGTCGAATATTGACTTGTTTTTGTTGAATTATTATCGAATGTTAAGCCGCATCACCCAATTCCATTTTGAAGGCTGCTTTTTACTTATCCTGAATCAATGTAAGTATTGTTCTAGAGATTTTTTTCAAAAACATATCATTTTTGATACTTGGAATATTAGTTTAGTATAAGAAGATCTTAAGTAGTAAGTAGATGTTGACATAAAGCGGGGATGATCAAACTTTTCGTACACCTACTGGAAGAAAAAAAAATTGCCTAAAAAAGTATAAGTTTATAGAAAGTTAAAAAAAAGTAAGTAAAAAAGTTTCGTAAGTAAAAAATTCGGATATAAGTGAATTAAAATTCAAACATTCCCAGACTAGCTAGAGTGTTTAAACTTTCGCTGGAGTTTCGTTTGTAACGAAAATACAGGTTTTGTTTCCTAAGCGTTGAAAAATTCAAAAAAGAAAATAAATTCCATCGCGACTAGTTAATTCCTGCAAAATATTCTAATGCTATAACAATTATTTAATATTGATAATTTTGCACTTTAAATTTAGTTAAAAGGAAAATAATTTTTTTATTATATTAAGCTTTGTATATAGAACCAATAAAATGAGTTTAAACCCTTTCACGACTGTAATTACATATTACGAGGCAAAATTAGAAAATTTCGTAACCTGCCAATGGCCAGTAGTTAATTTTTTAATAGCGGGCACTTTTTTAATAATTGAAAATTCTAAACCGTTTAAAAAAAACTACATTATTAATGTAAAGCATTTCTCAAAATGTGGTAAATACTACAGAGTTAATATCAAAAACGAAGAAAATTTTTCTTGCTCTCTCCAAATGAAAATATGTAAGATTTAAGTATTGTACATAACATTTTCAACTTACAAAATTTAGGATTTGAGTTTTGGATCAATAATGCAACCTGAAACTTATGTTTATTAAGAAAGATTCGTTCCAAAAAATAAATCCAGAAGTAATTGTAATCATAACAATGAAATTATATTAATTATTTAACTTTTAGTTTTTATCCGCCATAACTTAAATTAAAAAAAAAGCACTATGAAATGGACTTTAATTTGAATGAAATGTATGAAATCTAAATTCAGTCCCCCTAAAGTTTTGAATCAGCTTGAAATATCCTGAGCGATCCGGTAATGGTTTCAGCCAGTGGCCCTCATTCCCCCCAAGCTGTTGGGCGCATTCATCCCCCCCCCACAAAAAAAATTTGCTAACTTCCCCCTTCCATGTTAGCTTGTTCGAAATAGTGCTACTTTACTTGCATTGCCAGTTGCTTCTTTAATTCATGTACTTAAAAAAAAAATTCCCTCGTCTAAATTCCCCCCCCCAAACTATTCGTTTTACTTAGTGTAAATATCCCCCCGCCCCAAGCTTTAAGTGGGCGCATCATGCGCCCACCTTCCCCCCTGATGGGGGGCCCCTGGTTTCAGCGTTTCCGAGCAATAAAAAAAACAGAAATTGAAAACATTCATTTCAAAGCTCATTTGCCTTTTCGGCGAAAAAAGGGGCAATCGGATGGCGATTAAATTTTATTTACATTTACTTGCCTTGTGGTGACTAATGTCGATCGTTAATTTTGTACTATATCGCACATATTATCTCAGTCGATACGAATTCTGCACCCGGTTTGCAGCGACCACAGTGCTGACGTGAAATGTCCTCAGTGGTAGACGGAGCATGGGTTAGAGTCCCCTTACCGTCAGGCAAACCGTGGGAGGTTCTCGTGGTCTTCTCCATGCAACGCAAATGCGGGTTACCTCTATCAAAATTTTCCCCCGAAGGCAAATTTCTCCTGATACTCCATCCAGGAATTCTCTTGTCTTCCGGATTGGGTTCAAAATTACAAGGCTACGGAGTTGAATATTAGTAGTCGTTAGCCCAATTTTTGGGTCAGCTGTTCAACGACGGTTATGATATATATATGTTTTATTTCAATTTTTAATATTTATTAGTTTATGTGAATTTAAGACTTGCTGGCAGTTTGCGGTTATGATAGATAGTATTTTGTATGTTTTGGGTCAGCTTTGCAATTTTTTTTAAAAATTAAATATCCCGAAAGATTTATTACAGTATATTTAGGTACTATCAATGTTATTACATATTATGTAAATTTCAGAGTTATTTAATTAAATCAATGATTTTAATTGAAATTTCAAATATAATCAGCCTTAATAGGAAAAAAAAACGACATAGTGCATGCGTATGCACTTGGAGCGTGAGCATCTGAAAAAGGATTTTTCGATATGGTTCAGTTTCCTGAATAGGTTAGTTTTTTGCAATTATCAATTGTGAGTCTGGTAGCTCTGGGGATAGAGGGCTCACCTCCCAATGATTTGACACTAGTTTGAATACCAGTGCTGACATAAACTGTCCTTAGTCGTAGACGGATCCTGGGTTAGAGTATCCTTGCCGTCAGGCTTACCGTGGGAGATTTTTGATGTTTTCCCTCGACATGTAACACAAATGCAGGTTAATTCTATTAAAAAAAATTTCACGAAAACAAAGTTCTCCCAGGAGTTCTCTTCTCTTCTGGATTGGATTCCAAATTTCAAGACTACGGAGTTGAACATTGGTAGTCATGAACTCAAAAGTTGGGTCGACTGTTAAACGATGCTTATAAAATTAAAACAAAATTTTCAATTTCGAGATATTTAAAGTGAGCCATGAAAGGCCCATGAAATCTTTTCAATAATTGCAATAATTTCAAATAAGTCTAAAAAAGTGTTTTTTTTTGTAATAATTTATAATAAAATATTTAAGATAAACCATGAAGTGATTTTTAATCTTTTGCGTTTATTTATTGCGAAATACTCAAAATAAGTAAAAAAGAGCTTATTGAAAAAGTTAAAATTCGAATTGTAGCTCTAAACCTTATCACAAATAGCATTGTCCAAAACAGTTTTAGCTACAAACCAGTATTGTCTAAAATTGCGCAACCTGTAAACCAGCATTGTCCGAATAATATCATTTTGCAGCTATGAAAAAAAAATTTTTTTTGGCAGGACAATTTCCCAAAAATTTTTTTTGCTAAAAATTTCTCTAAATATGCTCATTTTTAAGCTATCATTAGAGTAATTTTATACCTCGGAACCAGTTTAATTCATTTATTGGTCTTCTGTTTCCAAAATTTTATATTAATAATTTTGTTTTTGAAACTTCAATTTTTCTAGTATCATGGCAACAGCGGGAACATCATCTGGCTTGAAAAAGAGGGTGCATGGGGAGAGTGAAGAGTTTGATGATTCTCCGTCATATCAACCATTTTATTCTGAAGATTCTGTAGATGGTCGAGCTCCAGAACTTATTTTAAGTACCACCTCACTACAATCCCAAGAAACTTCATTTAGCAGAACTCATCGTCTTCGGAACAGCAAGGTTGACCCTGTCGATCAAGTAGAGCTGAGAAATCTTAGGCAAGAAACGTCACAAAATAGGTCCACAGACCGCAACTCGTGTTTCTGTGTAGGGCGATCGCAGTGCTTTTACACGGGACTTGTTAGTGTGCTCGTGTTCATGGCGATTTGCATTGTTTTATCATCTTTTGGAGCACACTGCCTCCTTCGACATAAAGTTTGTAATTGTTCAGAAAATCTCGAAACTAATGAAACCTTCCCCGATTATTATGTTACAAATGCTACTGTAAATATTTAAAAAAAAAATTCTAAAATGTTGCTGTTAATGCTTACTTGCAAGCTGTTTGTTCTTTAAATAAATATAACTTTCTAGTAAAATATCGACTATGTCCATAATTTCTTAGGTTTTCATGTTCACTTAAATTAAAAATCTAGATTTAGAGTAAATATATAGCGCTTGGTAGTAGAACAAGTAAAACATTCAAATATGTAATGTAAAGCATGTAAAAACATGTAAAACACGTTTTGCTAAAACTTAAATATCGGGTTGACAGAACATCAGGTTGGGGAGCTTTTTAATCTGAACAAAACTTAAAATGAGCATTTAAGGAAATAGACACAGAGTACAACATGTATACCTTTTACAATGTTTAATCCAATTTAACAACTAAACCTGAAATTTTGTTTACTTTTTTTTAACATAATCATTACGGAACAAAATCCCCATCTTCACACGGTCATAGGATGGCTGATTGTATTACTAACTAGCCGCCTAAGGCGGCCAGCTGTCCACCACGCAAAACAGGGGTCTGTCCAGACATTTTGTGAAAGGTCCGTTTTTNTATCGCGATACATCGCTATATCGCGATGCAAAACTGACGATATATCACGATATATAATTTCTAATATCGCCCAGTCCTAGTTAAGTCACATTCTATCAACCAGGGTTCGTTTTTGCGAATTTGTGCAAACAAGGTCCGTTATTGCAAAAAAAAAAATTCAAGGAGTTTTTAAATTGTAAAGGCATACAAGATTATGCTGAACACTGTAAAATTATAATTAAAAAAATTAAATTCAAAAAAATAAAGAGCAATTGCAGCTACTAAATTAGCGATGCAACATATAAATATTTGGTATTTAGCCTATACTGCTGAACGCAGAATATTCTTTTCGGACGAATGAAGGAAGAAGCGACTGCGGAAGAAAAAATTTAGTTTGTTTACATCTTTCTTCCCGGGAAGGGTTTATTCGATTAACAAAACAATAATGAAGATGAACAAATTTGTGAAGGGTCCGATTAAAAGAAAAATCATTTTGTGAAGGGTCCGTTTTTAAGTTAAAATATTTTGTGAAGGGTCCTTTTTTATGAAAATATATTTTGTGAAGGGTCCGTTTTTATGAAAAAATACTTTGTGAAGGGTACGTTAACGGACCCAAATTTCTTCTAAACAGACCCCTGCTAAAGGTTTTCACAAATAAAGTTTTTTGAAACGTAGCAGGAAATCTGAAGATTAGTGGACAATTAAAGTGTTCCTGTCCTGCAATTTTAACAAACTGAAACTTTCTGAAAATAACAAATTACATTTAATAAAAACTGTTAAAATAAAGAATAGAAAAACCAAAGAGATCCAAGGTAAGTGTGATCGTTCTTTCAAAAACAATTAAATTCCTATTTTATGTATTATATAGCTACAACGCTTAAGAAAAAAAAACTAAAATGCTTGAAATACATGAAAAGAACACGAAAACGAATTAATTTTTTATGGTATCAATTTCTATATCGCTATAAAAATTATCGTCTTCGCTTAAGAAAAAAAAAATAGAGCGTGGAAAGAAGAAGAAAAACTTATTATAACAATTATGAACAGCGACAAATATATCAAAGCGAAGCGTTCTATTTACGTATCGAATATGTTGCCACATTTTTAATACAAAAGTTAAACTTTTCTCCACTTTGATAAATGTAAACTAATGCGAACCTTACAATTAAATTATTAATTCCTTCGTATATTATTGGTTTAAGTTGTCGAAAATTAATATTTCAATTGTAAGGTTCGCATTAGCATACATTTATAAGAGTGGAGAAAAGTATATGCATTTTTTAATAGTTTTTTGAATATGGCTCTTTAAAGACGAAAAAGAATAGATTTTCTTACAAAATGACTGATAACTAAAAAACTAATCCAAATTTTTGAAAAAGAAAAAAAATGTACTTCTTCATTATGTCAAAACACAATTATGTGACGAGTTTCGTGCCTGGGTGAGGCTTCTGGGGCGATATATTGTGATTACAGACACACACACAGCCGCGTTTATTATTATGTATAGATGTAGATTTTCAGACGAAAAATTTTTGATTGAATGATCAGATTTTTGTTTACTAGAACTAGGACTCAATCTTAGGTTTTCGAGGGCCTAAGCCTTAAATATGCTAATAGATTACTGTTAACTATTAAGTTATGGAATCTGATATGAAAACGTAACTTTTCTGGCAAAGCATTTCTTGTTTTTATTATTTATTTATTTACGTATTTTGCTTTGAAGAAGCGAATTTACTCCCAATTCCTCCGATCCAGTCAAATTTTAAAAATATGATTTTTGTAACTTAGATGACTCAAACATTTGACTGATTCACACTCTGAACAGAATCAGTTGTTTATTTAAAATTACGTCGGTTAAAATAGTGCAAAATTCTTTATTCCTTACAATTCAAAATGTTTCGACTAATAAGGCCTGGTTTCTTAGGACAGGACACCGTCAGCTGGAAATCAGCGCTAACCTCTGATTGGTCCATTTGTGAGTTTGATAGTGTACGTCATCGAACGCTCATCTTGAACTCGATGACGTATACTATCAAACTCACAAATGGACCAATCAGAGGTTAGCGCTGATTTCCAGCTGACGGCGTCCTGTCCTAAGAAACCAGGCCTTTACATGTTATGTTAAATAATCAAAAAACAATTATTAAAAACCATTTTTTACATGAAATTGTCTTTAAATAAATAAATTTTATAATTTCGTGCAAAATATTTTTGATTCGGTGTAAGTGTTCCTGAGATATGACGGAATACACAAAAAGTGAAATTAACATTAAAGGGCTCAAACTTTAAATCGCTCTCTTGACCAAACACGGGGGACACTATTTTGCAGATTGTCCACTATTACTCCCAGCTAACTCATATATTTTGGGGGGGGGGAGGGTTGGAAATCTGAATCCGTCGAAAAAAAAATCATGTTTATTCAGAGAAAGGACGTTTTAGTGTCTGATTACGTAACTTAAAATATCTTCTGTGGGTTAAGCCTTCAGATCATTAAGACTATTAACTCTTAGTTGAAATTGGGTTATTAAAAAATTATTCAGAGTGTTAGCTTTTCTTTCATACTACATGTCGTATGCTCATACATAAAAAAAATTTTAATCTGGACAAATCATTTAGGCTTAACAAAAAAATGTACTTTCTCTGAATAAGCATATATATTTTTTTACATATTTGGATTCTTCATCTTCAAAATATAGGGGGTAGCCGCAATCTGGGGAATGTGGTCCCCATAGTTTGGTCAGGAGAGCTATTCAAAAGTTTGGACCCCTTAATGTTAATTTCACTTTTAGTCATATTTTTAAAACTAATAAAGCAATTTAAAAAAATTGCACTCACTCGTAAGACCCATTTACCCAAAGATAATTTCATGCAAAAAGTAATTTTTAATAAGTAGTTTTTAATTACTTAATTTAATTGAGGATGAAAAAATTTTGAATGAGGTATGAATTTTTTATACAATATAAATCTAAATATTTTTCTATTGAAAAATCTAAAGTGTCAACTGTTTTTTTTTAGTAGAAGCAGAGAAAAATCGAAATTAATTGTTTTTCAAAAATAATTTGTTGACAAAGAAAAAATATGGGGCGATTAATATTTAAATGTGGTTAACTTACAAAGACTTATGCGCGCGTAGCTTAAAATTTCATTCATATATTTTTCGCTAATAACCGATTGCTAATCTTTTTTTAAATTTTTTTTAAATTATAAAATACTATGTTTCTTTTTTAGTCATCTAAAAAATTATTGCAATTTAGTTAAAAAATTTGAATAAAACATTTTATAGAATAAAAAATATTTTATTCAACTAATGTCGAGTTTTATAAAAGCATGTTTCTGATAGAATGTGATTATACATCAAATTATGATTATATTTAATAAGATTATATTTTATTTTTTAGTTTGCTTTTTTAATAATTGATACAGTTTCAATAATAAGCATACGTATGCATACATTTTTAAAAATGTATACATCAATATCTTCAATATATATTTTACAATTATTAATACGAATACGCAGTCAGCATTTCTTAGCATCTTAAAATTTCTCAACATCTTACATATCATCTTAACCTTAAAATAAATTTTTTAATTACCTATCCTCGCGTGTTTCGCAGAACTATTTAATTAAATTTTTGCATTTTTAAAAATATTATTCTTTACCCTGCCACATTTATTATTTCATTAATATACTAATCAATCTTTTTTAGAACTTTAATTTAGGTTCTCCTTTAAAGTAAAATTCCTTTTTAAGTTATTCTCAAGTTTTCATTTAAAAAAAAGCTTAGAATTATTGCCTCCTAGCTAAGAATAAAATCTTGTTATTACAACTATTAATAACTTGTAACAACTTAATTTTGATTTCTGGTGTCTGGGGGACATTTCTTTTTCACAGTCGACTTTTAAAAATTCAATTGTCAGCGGAATCTTTTTGAGATTTTAAAAAATGTTATTAATGCTAGCAAAGAAAAAATAGTACTGCATTGATTTTTTAAGCAAGTAGTGATTAATTATTTTTTTTAATCTAAGAAACTATATCTTTATCTTGCTTAAAACTTATTTCAATATCACGTGAAGTAATTTTATAAACTGTGTTACTAAATGAATAGTCCCAAGAAACTGAATCAAAAAGAATTTTACATTTGGACCTTGATTATTATTTTGATAGGGATTTTACTCTCGTAAATGTAAACTTATACATTTTAATATTTTAACAGGATTCATGTGGTCCTTAGAAAAGTAAGAGAATCGTAGTATCAATATTGTAGCTATGAAGTTATCTTTAACTTTAAAATTTTGAGACCAGATTTGAGTTAATGAAATTGTATATTTTATCTCTTAAGTTTTTGCGCCACCATTACAGTACTTTAAGGACCTTACGAGCTATCTTTGAAAGTAGAGTATCGTATCAGATATAAGTAAGAAAACAAAGAAATCATAGTAGCGGTATTTGTTGATTAATGTAGCTTATCGTAATTGAAAAACATGTTGTGCGACATTTTACGGTGAATTTGCGAAAATAAGTTTCAGCATGTATCAAAACATCAGGATGCTATTTGC